AAACAGTTTATTATAAAAATAATCTTAAATATCGTAAGGCTTATATTTTCGTTAAATATGATTAATTTCATATTACATATGTAACATAGAAAGCCTTTCACACGCCAAAGCAATACGATAACATACGATAGAGATATGTCATACATATGTATGCATCTATTCATAAATATGCGTATATGATAAATATGTTTATACTCAAGAAAATATATGTGGGTATACATAATACATCAAGTGCATACTTCCACATGCGTGTAGTAGAGTTACATGTGCCTATTTACATACAGTAAACATCAAGTTTACTGAAAACCGGCTTGCAAGACAATCTGAACTAGTAATTCATAAAGAATAAATGGAATAAAATAATAAAAAGTGCGCATGGCTCGGCGAGCTGAATTACTCACATCGCGGCCGTGACTAGATAGACATTAGGAAATCGCATTGAGGCCAATGCAGCAGATACGAATCCAAACTAAATATGTGCAATGCTGGCAAACGCACTCCGTACAAGTGCAAAATTATTAACATTTCCAGATTTAGTATAGGGTAGAGCGGGGCTTAAAGGTCCGTCGGTAAAAAGGTCTTCCAGCGATATCTTAAGAACCAGCAAAGTTAAGAATTTTTCAACAAAAATATTTGAAAGTATTGGGAACAAGATGTATAATCAGCCATCCCCTTCATTCTTAAGACGTTGCTGTCGCGTGAAAAACGGCAGTGTTTGAAAATACAAAACAAAATAGTTTTTTTTGTTTTTAATTGTTTTGGTCGGAGCACTGTTGCTTAGTTCACCATACCTTAAAATAATTTTTAAGTTTACATTATTTAATTGTGTTATAAGATGCATTGTTGATTTTAAATTAGACACAACAGTTTTTTTTTTGTATAACTTCTCTGAAAGCTTACTTCTGGGTGGGTGCAAACTCAACCTTTACCCTGGCAAAGGTGTAATAAATAAAGAAGTAAATTAAGTTGAAAAAGCAATTTTACAAGTGATAAATTGAATAAATATTTATTCCAACTCAGATGATGAATATTTCTGACAAATTGCCAGATCAAGGTTATTTACAGTGTTATCTCTTTAAAAAATGCACCCATCAAATTTATATTTGGCATTGGTTGAATAAGGGAGTTATTTTTTTTTTTGTAAAATCATTTTAAAATTACAATAAAACACTGGACCTGGACCTATTTGCTTTTAACATAGTCAGACAGTTGTTTGTTTGATATATGTTTGATTTGTTATGATATAATTGGTTTGGTTTCCACAGTATGATTGCTCAGAGTCATATGGTCCTTTGCGTCCCGCCCTACCCTACTGTATTGTCTTGCTCTATCTGTTATACTGAAAAGTATACAATTTATTTAATTTTTTATGTTTTTAAAGTAATCTCATGTCAATTTTCAAATCTCTATCTCAATAATTAATTTCTAAAAATGTTTTTGACTATATCCCACTTTAAGATAAGTGGGAAAGTAGTCAAAAAATATATATATCTTCATATCCGACCTTTGGAAATAATTTTATTTCCTTAAATTTTTTTATACTCATGTTTTGTCTGCAATCCGAATTTCGTCCGCCTTATAAGCTATTAGTCCCGTATTTTTATATGATAACACAATGCTTAATCCAGTGGTTTCCAATCTTTTAGCACAGCCTCCCCCCATTTTTTAAGAAGAAAAAATCTCCTTTAAATTCAACTTTTTCAGACGATACTATTTTGGACAGCTGTACGCCCTCTTGGAACAATTTAGCGCCCCCCTGAGGAGACTCGCACCACAGGTTATTAAGATGACTAAAATCAGGGATATGGTCACGTACCTTTTTTTTGAGACCCCAATTAATCCCCTGCTACAATTAAAATTTTTTGACTGTTCAATTTTGATATATTTTTCTGTATTCTTAACATTCATTAACTTATAAAAATGGATAAAAAAATATGTTTACCATTTTTACGTTTTTTTAAAAATCATATAAAATTCATGTCTCTAGACTAAAATACTCTCTAATACATAGCGATTTCAATTTCATTTAACAAGATGTACCTACATATATATTTAAGTACATTTAATTTTGTGGGTGGAACTTATTCGGAATTGCAATACACTCAGACTCTTCATTATAATCACTTTAAACTAAATGTCCAATGATATAACTGCTTGCAATGCTGTCATTTTTTCAATTCAAAAATCAGAAATAGAACTTTTAAGAACGTTATGATATTAAATTTTTATACCTAATTTAACTATATAATATATATATATATATATATATATAATATATATATACATATACAATGTTTTATAAAGTTATACATTAAATAAATAACACAATTATAAATTTTTAACAATTATAAATTAATGATCCATGATCCTTTTTATGCAGAGATAGGAACTGGTAATGTCATTTTAAATTTTATGACACGGCACGATTTCATACGTTATAATTGCTTCACTTATTTTTGCATTTGGATTAATTTTATATTGCCATAAATATAACTATTTCTATATATTAATTTAATCGACTGCTTTATTTTAGCCTTTTATATCAGTTTTAAAAATAATGTGATTCTGTTTTTTTAGAAAGTGCTAGAGACTTCAATTACTTATTGAGTGATTTCCGAATTAAAATAATTGTTTATTCTTTATGTATCCGTATTAGTTTGTTCATTATTTTGTGAATTCACTTTTTTTTTATTTCTGCAGAGTGTTTTTTTTTTGAATATCTCCTAGTTGTTGATCAGAATTAGTACGCAAAAGTTCTATCCGATTTATTTCACGTACTAGATGTTATCAAGTTTTTCACGCACGATCACATTTCATTTGAAACGCTCAATCACTTTATCAAATATGTATTTTAATTATTGTTCGTTTTCTAATTTCTTTAAAGTGTTATACTTTCTAAACAAATAAGGTCACGAGTGTAAGAACTAAAATAATTACATGAATGCAGTTGGTTAAGGAATTATTAAAAATATGATTACTTTGAATTACTGGAATATTAAATATACTATTAGCTTATATTATGGATGTAGATAGGCTATCAATACACAAAAGGAATATATTTATTATAAATAATAATATTAAAAAAAACATGAACTATAGAATGAACAATAAAAATATAAATAGGGCAAGGAAGGGCACAAAAGTCCAATTTGACTTTGAGCAATTATATTATGAAGATCACAAAAAATAATACACATCAAAATAATAAATAAACATATTAAAATATAGATACTGTTATAATTTCTCGAAAAGGCAAGTTTAAAATTTATTACATAAAATTTATTTACTCAATTACTTGTTTAATCAAAACTTATCTAATGCAATGTTTACTAGAATTTTCGCAATTAATTTACGTTAATCAGTTGATCAGTTAGTTTTAAATTTTCATTGCAAGTGGACTGGAATAATAAATTCGAAAAATAGTTAAAAATTAGTGGCTTCGTGCATAAAAGATTTTTTTATAGTAACGTAATTTAGAGAAACACAATAGGATTTAAAGATTAATTAGTGCTAAATTTGAGAGTGAAGTAATACATATTTGTTATATGCACAACATTTGCTCACAAGTGAGTATCTATACATAATAATAACCGTTTTTTTTCTTTATTGCGAATTATCAGAATTACTATAGAATAAGTTGTTCTATAAGTCTGTGTACTTATTCACATCACGTATAAGAATATTTTTTAAGGAGAAGGCCTTTTGTAATAATAGTAATCTAGGGATAATTGGATAAATAAATTATGATTATATATATATATATATATATATATATATACAGGGTGTCACAGACCTTGACATCAAGTCTAATCGGGGTGATAGTATTGACCTTAATGGTCCTGAAAAAATTAGAAAAAGAAATTATCTCGTTGTTTGGAAATTATGAGCTTTTAAGTGCAAGCAATTGAAGTTGCTCCAATCTAGAGCTTTGGTAAAATTATGACCATTTTTCAGTTATTGTGGTTAACTTTAATTATTTTTTCTTATTTAAACTTTTGAATCGTAACCGTGAGTAACATTTATAGAACCACAGTAAAAAGTACCACAATTGCCTGAAGTTTTCGAGAATTAAGACCTTTTGTTCAACTATGAATTTAAAATTTTTAAAGTCGATCCACCATCATAACCATTATATTTACGCATGCATATTTAAAAGTTAGTTTATATACAAGTTTACAATTGCTATATAGATAATAAATATGCTACTATTATATTCGCTGAAATTATTTCAAGGTGTCATAGTTAGAAAGGCGCTACGCCACTTAACGCGGCTGCGACGTTTGAGTTGGACTATGAGCGAATTGTCTAAAACCGTAAACTAAATAAAAATGCACAAATATTTTTTTCATTATAAAAAAAAATTGAAGTAGTTTTACTATAAGTTTACGCTAAGTAATTTTACTCAAGTATATATAGTATAGTTTTGCTATAAGTGAGTCACTTCGGTTTAATACTAATTTGTTAATTTCAATTTTTAATAGAAAGTTTTGATAGATAGAAAGTTTGAGAACAAAGAAGTTCGAAAGTGTGTAATGAGAGATGTGGTATTAGGCGTTCGGTCCGATTTTCCGTTTCGTCGAACTGCAGAGTTGTAATTCGCGAAGGGCTCGGCAGGGCTCCGTTGTTGAAGTGCGCACATTTCGTGGCCTTATGGTAAAAATAATATTTGAAAAGAGTGCAGTCAAGCCGTGTCAGTTGCATTCGCGGCCCCCGGGTGGGGGTAAAGACAGCGAGAGCGAGCGAGACAACGGCAAGTATAGTGCGCGGACATTCGCGCGAATTCTTGATAGATAAAAATATATATGAGGAACAACTTTGGTCGGATCAGTCCATTTTAAGCAGCAACCTTGTTCGTTGCATATTTTCAATATAGGTAGCGGCAAACATTAATGACATTAAGTAATTAGTCGTAGCGACGCGCATACGGGTGTATTGTGTGGTCTGGTAACCGCGCGTATATTTAACGCCGTTAACCGTGAATCGGTTTTCGAATCTAGAGACAGACAGACAAATTCGTAATAAGCGTTCGCGTAAACCGAGTTCCAAATGCAGTAAGTTCAGTAGCTCGAACAAGTTGTTATTATTGTGTTGCATGTCATTGTCTGATTGCGCTCTTGGAACACTTTATAGGTTGTGCACGATCGCGATCACGAGTGCATTAGATCGATGCTAGAGCGAGGCGACAGCAGCATGGCTTCGCTCCGTCGCTGAAGGTTAAGACCGACGACTACAGCAGAACGGCTAACAGCTACACGGGCATCCAAGTATCCGACTATCCAAGTATCCGAGTATCCGAGTATCCGAGTATTCGAGTGGCAGCGGAGTAGCGGAGTAGCGGAATTGTGTTCCGAGCGGAGTAGCGGAGTAGCGGAGGCATTAGCTAAATCGACGCCCAAATGCAACGAATGGAAACTGGAAAAGGCGACGTGTGCGAAAGAGAGACATTATCATAACAGCGACGAGTGCATCGCAAGTGGACGTACGTCCCGGAGACGCCGTTCGTAACAGAGTAAGACGGACCGAGGCGACGCACGACGCGCGAATGCAACGAAAACTGCATAAGAGTAGTAACTAGTCGTACGAAAGCGACCGCGTTATAGACATCACGCTCGCACACAATCAGCGAGGCGACTCACTGACTGACTTACACAAACGCATCGAAAGAACGCAACGCGTATGATTCGAACGCGCGACACGCTCACATCACGGGCACCAAATGTATATACGTAAACTTGTTGCGTCACTAAATGTGACGTCGAAAAAACGCTCGCGAGTCAAGTCGCTACCGGCGAGTGAGACACAAGATAATACATGCGAAATAGCGCCTCTAGACAGGACCGAGTCGCCGAAGAAGGAAAATAAAAATGGCGGATTGCTCATACGCGAGATGTGTTCAAGAACGTCGCAACATCAAACGTGAATTGCAAAAATGGACAAAAAACATGGTGTACATCGTAGGTGAGTGAAAGTTTCAAAATTTTCCAAACGTTAAGTAGCTTAGGCGCCGTCTGCGCGCCGTCCGGCGGTCGACCGGCATCGCGGTAATGCGATGTGCAATGTGCGATGTGCGATGTGCGAGTGTCATGTGCGAGTGCGGCAGTGTGAGTGCGCGCCGGCGGATTCGGGAGCCGATCGGGGGATGCAACCTGTTGCATGGATATCGTTTCCGGGTTACACAGTGTTAGACCGCGCCAGTGCCTTCACAACGGAAACGCAGTGTCGCACGGTGCACTAGCCGGGAAGGTTGTTTGTCTTGTGCACGCGGCTCTCGGCTATCGGCTCTCGGCTCACGGCTCGCGCATCCGCCGTCGCCGTCGACACGGCCGAACACGCCGCCGAACCAACACCGGACAACCGCCACCGCCACCGCCGATCCACCGCCGATCTACTGCCGAACTGCCGCAGATCGGTCGCTTTACATCCGATTCATGTGTTCAGTGTTATGTGTGATCCCTGTGAGTGATATCACCAAATGACGGCACATTGCAATAACCGCACCGCATATCGTACGGACGTAAACGTCAAAATTAACGCGGCGACATGCGACGGTAAGGTTTATTTTCGAGCATGTCGAAAATTTTGATTCAATATTTGTTTACGAACTGTGGTGCATGACTATAATAACGCGTTATTCTAAATACTGAACATGTGCAACAAGATAGTAAAGCGCCTAAATTTGAATTTCATTTTCAACTTATTTGTATGTTTATATAAAAATATTTTTTCAAGTTATATTTTTAAATCTACTCTTACTTTTAATACTTTACATTAAAATTATCTTTCATTAAATACAATTATCGCACCTATACTAATTTTTATTGAAGTGCGCGATACTTCCATATAACTTAAATATCTAGTGATCAGCAAATTCTCAAGTTGACCATCTTAATCTAAATCAAATCGAAAACAGTTCGTTTGGTTAGTTTGTTTTTTCTTTTATAAAAATAATATAAATAAAATTTTGAAAAACAAGAAATATTCGATGATTTTAATATTATAAAGATATATTCGACATTTAAAAATAGTCTAACTCATCATAAGTTTTTATATTACTTCTGACACCTATACAAACGTCAGTCTGTTGCTAAATCATAATTTCAAAATTTGCGACTTCCTCTTGTCACTAAAATTACGTATATGTTTATAAATATAAAGCATTGTGCAGTTTATAACCTTGAATCATCGTTTCAAATATGAATACTAAAATGCAATGAAAACATAGTAAATAATTGCTATTACATAAACTCCCTTTTTGTGGTTGCGTCGAATATCATTACGCATTAAAGTTTTTTATTTTTTATTGAAGCTTGTATACTCCAAATAAAAAAGACCTTATAATATGGAAAATTATAATTAGTTAATATTTAATCAAGATATTAAAATTATCTACTTATTAATCCTTGTAATATCTTTGGTTTGAAATTGACTATAAACGTCAAAAGAGTTATGTTTTATAGTATATTTCTGTACACAAAAGTAAGTCAGAGATTTTATATAAAAACATTAAATCAAATGTGTATCAACATTTTGATGATTAAAAAAATTAGTTGTTTAAAAAAATACGAAGATGAACATCTTTTATACCTTATTGCATTTTATCACTTGCTTGAATCTTATTATTTCAAATTTAAGTATACATTAAGTAACGTACAAAATGAAATGCTGAAGTTTTGTCACTGTAACTTGGAATGACTTTATATGCCATATACGGTGGAGACGCCACGTAGGTTTCATGTTCAAATCTCAGTGTTCAAATACTATCGAATATATTTCAAATAGCCGGCAAAATCTATGGATATAACAAATGAACTAATAATTATTGTTATAGAATAGTTTAATGAGTATCTATTGAAGTTACGGTTTTCTTAAGAATCGAGCGGTAATGCTAAATTTTTGTAAAATTTTCTTGAAATCAAATTTATGAGCGCTAACTACATACAGATCAAACCCTTTTATTATTTATTCCATTTTTATTAATTTATATTATTCAAAATATGATTCAGAATTATGTAATGCTTATGTGATATTTTTCAATAATATTACTTTGTGCTGCATGATTGTTTGTTAAGTGAAAAATTCCATTTTAACAAGTCAAAAAATACACAAAAATGTATTAATGGTTATATGTTAATTATTTCTGCATACGACTAATGAAAGCAGTTTAAATATGCATCATAAATAGTAATGTGAAATTAATATATTTAATTTTTTCACATCAATTATTTTAAAAACACTCAACACTTTAAAAAAAAATTTAATATAATCAAGTTCACCGATTTTTTCCTTTCACCGAAGTTTCATTTTCGATAAGTGTACTGTAAAGTGTGCAATTTCTGAACTACAATATATTGCCAAGAAAACAATAATCTATTTACTACCATCGTAATTAATTTTTTATCGATATTTGTAAATACTTGTTTTCCGATTCGATTCAAGTTTTTTCCACCTAGGCGTGTAATATATAATTTTGATAAGTATCTCGCCACGTAAATAGCTTTTTCAGTGACTGGTTACGCGAAAACTAGCTGGCACACCGCCACTCATCCGTGCATCGGATCCCATTCAGTCGCTTCTTTAAATGTATTTGCTATCCATGATGCTCATAGCACAAATACATTTTCATATTACGAGACCGATGAATGCATTCTATGTGTACTGTAGGTCGTGTGTGCATGTGCATCGTACTTGACAAGTGTATGCGTTTTAGCCAGGCCACAACTGGACAAGTGGAAATAGAAATATCAGAATATGCACTGTGCAAAGGAGCGGGGGAATGAAAGATACTAAACGCGATTAACTTCTCGAACAATTAAGAAATATTTATGCAAATTAAAATCTGATGGAATTGACAAATATTTGACAATTTTTTTAGACTAATTTTATATTTTGAAAAAAAAAATTAAATATTCAGTTTGCAGACATAAATAAAATTTGGTTGATAGAGTAGAGCGGGGTTAAAAGGTACGCGGGTAAAAAGATCCATCAGCGATGTATCAAAAACAAGTAAAGTTAAGATTTTTTTAACAACAATATTTGAAATTAGAGGAAAAAAGATGTCTAACCAGCCATTACCTTGATTCTTACGACGTTGCTATCAAAAGAAAAACGGCAAAATTTTAAAATTTACAACAATTTCTTAGTTTCTTTGGTTGTGATCACTGTTGTTTATTTTACGAGACCTTAATGTAATTTTCAGATATGCGGTATTTGATCGTTTTTTTAAGATGTATTGTAAATTTTGTGTTAAATTCTACAGTTTTTTTTATATTACCTCTATAAAAGCTTACACGTCTGTGTAGTAAAAAGGACCAACTGAATCTTTACTCTGGCAAAGGCGTAATCAATAAAAAAATAGTAAAGAAAAATGTAAATTCGGTTTAAAAAAAAAGCAATTTTACTAAAAATCAATTGAATTAATAGTTATTACAACAACAGCTTATGAATATTCCTGACAAAATGCTAAATCAAAATTATATACAGTGTTACCTCTGTAAAACATATATCCATAAAATTTATATTTTGCACTGGTTGAATAATGTAGCTAGAATTTTGTAAAATACCTTTAAAATTAAAAGTAAGACATTAAACCAGATGACAAATTTTTGAAAAACGGCAAAAAAATAAACATTTCTACAATGATGAATTAGCTAGTAGTTTTACTAAACATAGCCAGATAGTTGTTTGTTTGATATATTTTATTTGTTGTGATATAGTTGTTTGGTTTTCACAATATGAAATTGATCATAATCAAATTGGACATTTGAACCCTGCTTTACCCTACCATAAAAATTGTAAAAACAAAGTTTCCAACGAAACAAAATTTACAAGAATTTTTAGCTAGAATTTTGTAAAATCCCTTTAAAATTATAAGTAAGATATTAGACCAGGTGACAAATTTTTGAAAAATAGCAAAAAACAGATTTTTACAATGATGAATTATCTAGTAGTTTTACTAAACATAGTCAGATAGTTGTTTATTTGATATGTTTTATTTGTGATATAGTTGGTTTGGTTTTCACAATATAAAATTGCTCCAAATCAAATTACCTTTGTGCCCTGCTCTACCATACCACAAAAAATGTAATAACAGAGTTTTTGAACAAAACAAAATTTACAAGAATTTTTTCTTATACATGTATGTTAAATTGTTATAATTAATAAGTTAAGTTACTTTAGAAGAAAATTTAAATTCGAACGCAATACGAATGCAATACTCCGTAAAGCTTCGCGGATAAACGTATAGTTTGCGTCGCCGGTGGGAGAGGTGCGCTGCTGCGCGAATTCAATGCGAATTGAATGCGAATTGAGTGCGAGCCCAGTCCGGCCCTGTCATTGCACATGTGTTGTGTGCGAAGTGCATACAGCGTGTACAGCGTATAGAGCGTGTAGAGCGCGACTTACACATGCGAACGCGGGCAACACTGCAAGTACGATGCGTGAGCGAATATATTGAAACATTTAGTACTCTGCTACAAAGTGAATAGGGAATAAGAGAGTCCGTCCGTGCAACAGCGATCGTCCGAGCGGGCATGCCTTAGCACGCGGAAAAATTTCATCGGAACATCATACGGACTACGGAGACAACCGTGGACAATTTTGTGAACTTTGTGCATTATTATAGTTTTATTTAGTGAAAATAATCAATGTCGTTCGCGGTGTGTGCGACAAGTGTTGTTTTAATCGGTGATAGCCACTCATCATTATTGGATACAGATGTCGATGAGATATTGTGGTAGGTCATACATTTATACTCTTGCCAAAATTTCGTGGTGCGCGCGCCGGAGCTACAACGTGTGTAAACGATAGTGAATGTCATGTGTGAGTGTTTTGGTGAACTTGATATTCGGCTCCGAATCATATGTGACCGTTGCCAAAAGAGAATGTGTGCTGTAGGTCGGGTGCGATTGTGATTGTGACGGTGTGGAGCAATGTTGATCTGTACCAGGGTGCAATGAACG